GCTTTGTACCACTTTCCTGATGTCTCCTGTTATTTTTTGGAAGTCCTCTATTAGTGAGGATCGTAGTTGCTTCAGCATATCTCCCATTCTCTGCTCCGTAATTGGGAAATCTTGTCCTTGTGCACTGACTCTGCATCTGAGCCTGCTTCCGACAGTCTGTCAGGCGAAGCCGTGCCGCCATCTTGGAAAGGCTGCATTTTTTTTCTTTCTTCTGAGCTTTTGGAGGTGCCATTAGGTGCTCCCGACGTTGCGCTACCTTCACCTGTGCTCAGTTGCTCGCTTCCACGGAAGAGAATTGCTGTGTAGTCGCTGTTAGCCCAAACTGCTGCAGTGCTAATCCGCCATGCAACCCGTTAGCAGTGCCGGAAGTCCTGCCCCACCAAAAGGGCACATTTCAATAGAAACTAGCTCTTTTGGAAAGTAACTGGGGGCCTACAGTGTCTCTTTAAACTGCATTAGGAAGTCTGTGATTGGACAGTCACATAAAGTCTGGGTGGGGTTCGAAGGGGAGGGCTGGCAAAGGCTGCAGAGAGGAAATCTGCTACTTTTGCAAGCTGTATTAAATATACACCAAATGAAAAAAATGCATTATTAAAGTAATTTTTATTTATTTAGGCAGTTCTGTATCCCATTAACTATATTACAAGTAACTGTTGAGTTACACGGATCATTACTAGATAGGTATACATTTGCATGATATTCAAATTGCCTATTGTAACAACGTGGTATTACAGTATTTCATTGGGTGTTTTTGATTTGATTTACACTACATATCTAATTCTTCAAAAAGGTGCTACATATTTTTATTGTGACACAATATGTCACAATATGTTGTGCATAATGTAGTCACTCTACCTGTGTGCAACAAAGTGTCATATGATCTCAAAAAGTCCCATGATCTATGACGCATCGATATACTGACACACATAACTCAGACTACTTGTGAGAACAGAAAGAACAAATAATTATACAAATCTCAAAAGAATATAGAATCCCTTTAAATGCATGCAAGGTTTCATTTGGGGTATGTCCACTAAACAGTGATTTTTATTTATCTTGTATTTAAGCAGTGGAGTGTCCCTTTAATAATACATTTTCTGGCTTTACTATTTCATTTTGAAGTTTAGTAGGCAGTTCCTTAGAGTTCACTGTTCAGTGAATACATCTTTGCGAGAAACTTTGGTTAATGAGATATACATATATATGTTTTACACACTCTCTCACGCTGCCACTTGTACATGTTCGTGTCATAATTCTTAACTTTGAAATGAAAAAAAGATATCCTTATATTAAAGGGTATGGCTATTGAATGGATAACTAGCATACAGTCTGCTTCACTATTTATTTACCTGGGCAAGTTAAATCAGAAGAAAGTACATTTTATGTAAATTTACCCACATTAAATAACATCTGGTTTTGAAGTGCACACTAATTTGATTGTTATTACTGTGAAGCTCCATGGTAAACTAATATATTTGCATATATTTTGAGCTATTAGAAAATATCAACCTTGTCAAATATTTGCCTAGCAACAAAGAAATCATGATTTATAATAAAAGTATCATACATATCATACCTTGTTTGGTGGAGATCATTCATACAGCACCGTGTTTTGTTTTCTTTTCTGGTGGATAAACTACTTCCTGTGAATTTGACCAGGTGAACTGCAAATATCTCTTAATTATGACTTAAAGGGGCACAATAGGCATCAAAACAACTTTAGCTTAAAGGGACAGTTTAGGCATATTATGCATCATAACAACGTAATCTATATTCTTGAATGGTTTTATCCGAAAGTTGTCTCCAATCTCCCCCCCATACACACACATTGGCCCCCATACACACACAGTGTACCTCCCCCACACACTGCCCCCATATACATACATTGCCCCTCCATACACACACACTGCCCCCATATACATACATTGCCCCTCCATACACACACACTGCCCCGATACACATACATTGCCCCTCCATACACACACACACACACACTGTACCCCTCACACACACTGCACCCCGTATACATACATTGCCCCTCCATATACACACAAACACTATACCGCTTACACAGAAGGCCTCCCAATACACACACACTACATCCTTCACACACACACACACACACACTATATCCTTCACAAACACAATGCAAGCCTGTACACACACTGCACCCATCACACACACATACACTTTAACCCACACACATTGCACTCTCACACACACACACTACTGGCCTTATCCCCTACTATAGCCCCTATCCTAGCAGACCCCAGGTAAGTTGTCAAACTGTTCTTAAACAGTTTGACTGCTTACCCTGAGAGGGCACTACGGCACTCCTGGCACCATGACCACTACAGAGTGATGTAGTGCTTATTGTGACTGGATTGTTTCTTTAAACAATCTACCAGTACCCCTCCCGAAATTAGGTTCTGGATCTGCCCATGACAAGGAAACATTTTTGCTGAACAGGGGCCCAGTATATGCCATTAACAAAACAACACAAATATAATTCTAACGACTGATTAGTCCTCTCAGCCGTGCCATGGGTTTGGGGATGATAAGAGGATGAAAATTACAATTCAATGCCCAACTGTTTATTGAAAGCCCTGCAAAACTGAGACACAAACTGAGAACCTCTGTCAGATATAATATTGTGAGGAATGCCATGTAAACGGACGATTTCACATATAAAAATAAGAACTAGGTCTTGAGAGGAAGGCAATTTTTTGAGTGGAACAAAATGAGCCATCTTGGAAAAATGATCAACCACCATAAGGATGGTGGTATAGCCATCAGAACTAGGAAGTTCTACGATGAAATCCATGGACAAATGGGACCACAGAACACTAGGTACGGGAAGTAGATGTAACAATCCACATGGAAGCTTATGGGGTACTTTAGAAAGTTCACAAACAGAACAGGCTTGCAAATATTCTTTAACATCTTTTCTGAGAGAATCCCACTAAAAAGATCTCATGATCGCGGATATGGATTTATTAATGCATGGGTGTCCAGCAGACATGTTGTTGTGGAACACCCTTCTGACATTTACCCTTTCACACAATGGAACAAATAATTTATCCAGTGGTTTATTGCATGGCGCCTGAGACTGAGCCTCCATGATGGCGCCAAGTAGAGGAGAGGATAAGGAAAGGACAGTGGAAGCGATGATACACTCAGGTGGAATAATAGGGGATGTCTCTGGTCCCTGTACTGATTCGGTATCAAACTGTCTAGACAAGGCGCCCGCCTTCACGTTTTTGGGACCAGGTCTGTAAGTTATCAGAAAGTTAAAGCGAGAAAGGAGATCATCTAGCCTGTCTAGAAGATAATCATTTACCATCCCCTGTATAAGCCAAATTCCTATGGTCAGTAATGATCAAAAGGGGGTCCTTGGAACCCTCTAAAAGAGGTCGCCACTCTTTAAGCACTAGAATTCTCATAATTGCGCTCAGCAGGAGAAAACTTTCTAGAGAAGTAACCACATGGATGTAAAGGGGTATCCTGACTCTCCCTCTGAGAGAGCACAGCCCCTACCCCAGTTTTGGAGCCATCAACCTCCAGTATGAAGGGTTTGCTGGTGTCGGGATGTATCAATATGTCAGCAGAGGCAAACCTTTGTTTGAGAAGTTCAAAAGCTTCTCTAGCCTCCTTAGCCCCCTTGCATGTCATATTGGTGATGGGGGCTATCACAGAAGAGAACCCTTTGATAAATCTCCTGTAATAATTAGCAAACCCAATAAACCAATGAATGGCTTTTAGTCCATTGGGCAATGGCCAATTTAGAACAGCTTCTAGTTTATGAGGGTCCATCTGAAACCCAGAGGCAGAAATGTTACACCCCAAAAACTGTACTTCTGTCTGATCACGCATTTTTCCAGTTTACAATAAAGTTGATTTTTAAGTAAGGTTTGCAATACTTGTTTGATATGTTTGTGGTGAGTCTGAAGATCAGGGGAATAAATATCATCCAGATAGACTAGGACAAATTAATAAATATATTCCCTGAGTACGTCATTAATAAAGTCTTCGAACACAGTTGAAGCATTGCACAACCCGAAGGGCATCACAAGGTACTCATAGTGCCCACTTCTGGTGTTAAATGCTGTTTTCCACTCATGATTTTCCTTAATCCTTACCAAATTGTACGCACTCCTGAGGTCAAGTTTAGTAAATACTTTAGCACCCTGGAGTCTATCAAACTTTCGGAAATGAGGGGAATGGATAGGCATTTTTAATGGTGATTTTGTTTAATGCTCTTGTTGTAGATAATTTACTGCAAACCAATTAGTTTGAATGACTATCTGTTCCTGTCCAAATTAAAGATAATAAAGTTGCGTGCACGCAGAAGTAAATTCACACTGAGACACAAAGTTCAGGTTAATGAAAGAACTTCGGAGAAGTTTAATGGCTTCTGACAGAAAATGGGTGCGCAGACCCTTTTAAAGGCATTATTACATCACTGAAGAATTCAAGATAACAGAAAATAGACATTGTTAATTGGCTTAGGTGCTAAGATGTTAGTAAAATGCCCTCCCTATGGGGTGTACCATCTTAAGTCACTATCCTCGTCATGATCATCTCCTCCAGGTTTTAGCGCCATTTTGCTAACATGAGGAGCTCACTCGACGGGAGGGGCCTTTTGGCAGCTATCCATTTAGAGTGTAGCTGGCACGGTTAGTTTCTCAAGGTTAGGTTTCAAGGCTTTTAGTAAATACACATTTTATCAAAGCTATTTCTTGCTGACATGCAAATTCTATGTTCTATAGACAAAGCTTTCTTGTAAAACTATGGGGGCCTCTTAGAGATATAGCAAGAGGATTTAAAGGGGCCTTACAGATTTATAGAGGCCTAATAATTCTACAACAGTCCCCCCTAAAATGTTATTTGCTAAAAGACAAAACTTTATTTGTTAGTATCGGAAGATGTGTTAGCCCAAAGACACAGAAACCCCATGACCGCTGACTTAGTGTTAATGCAAAGTGCAAGTCTATCCCTCTCTTGACCCTAACAGGCTGCAGCACATCCGTCAGTACGGTTCAGGAACACTCTTCACTCCGCTGGTAACCCATAGTGGCTTATCCACTACTTCTCCGTACGGCAGTCTACCCATAAAGACGAACGCTGTCCCTGTACTGTCCCTTCCTAGACTTTCTGCACTTCATCAGTATAAGGGAGAGTTTGTAACGGAATACAGGGTGAGGTGAGATCTTGATCATCGATTGTCAGATGAGTAAAGGTTGGTGTTGCTTGGTCTACAGTTTTCTGCAGGAATTTCCTTAGGCATGGGAGGACACAACAAATGAGAAGAGCGAGAATAAAAAGAAAAATTAGTAAGGCAATACCAATCTGGACTAAAGCTCTCTGCCAACCAGTCATCCAACCAAACCATTTTTCCCAGGGATCAGTAACTCCAGAGTGTCTCTTTAACTCTTCTGAGAGTCTATTTAATTTAGCTATGGCCAGAGTGACTTTACCATTAGGACCTGTGTTTTCTGGAATGTAAATGCAACAAGTCACAGTGTCGGGTAGTATTTTACAGACCCCCCCTTTTTCGGCTAAGATCATGTCTAAGGCCAGTCTGTTCTGGAAGGTCATTTGGGATGTGGCCTGTAATTGCTCGGCCAAGCCCTGGAGGGCATCCCTGGTGTAGTTCACGAAGCGCTGTTGGTTGTAATAGATATAATTAATCCAATTAAGGTTTTTGTTGGCAGTGACTATAGTGAACAGTGATTCAAAACCTACAGCTACTTCATCTCTAGCTTTAAATTCATTAGGCACCCCCCTAGGTACCCCAATGGCATCTATGTAAATGTGGGGGTCAAAACTGCCTTTTACTGGGGTTTCGCGCCTCACTCTGGCTGGTGTATGTGGAGGGTCGTATGTGTCATGATGATTATCAGAAATAATATGAATGGGCATGATAACTTTGGCTAGGGTACACTCACCCCACCACTCAGTTTCCAGCCTAGATCTTAACTGTAGATCCCCACATAACCAGTAAATATCCCCCAATGACCTGGTATGGTGTTGCAACAGGCGTATAGGAACAGTTCTGTAAGTGGCGCAATAACCTTTAGAAAAATTACCCATGAATTTACCAATCCCGTCATACATGGCATAACAAGTGTAATTACCTCTATAGACTGTGATTCCATCTGGTGGCTTAACATTTTTAACTAAGAGAGGGTATTCTGCCGTCCATGCCATGCAGAGGGATCTGTTGAAATTATAGCGGTAGGCAAAAAGACTAAGGAAGCAAGTCTCTATCTCCAAAGGGAGAGTTAGAGGAACGGTGCCAAGATGAGGTCGAGCACCACCGCACACATAGCATGCGGTTTTGTTATGTTTATTAGCATTATATTTCATCCACTCTAACCACAAATTAATGTCATTGAATCCAGTTTCAGCGGCCATGGTATCTTCAAAAGTGGGGTTAGCGATGGCCATCATATCTTTAAAGGACTGGATATGTGGTTTTAGCGGATTTGGGACCATATGATCAGCCCCTTGCCACTCTGGAGAGTGGTACATAGCTCTGAGGTAGAAATGACCTAATTTGTTGTAGGAACCTTTCTTCCAATACATTCCCATTACATATCGGTCTGCATCCTCGGGGCCAGGATGTTCAATGTTTAACATTAATTTCATAGGGGTACTTCCTCCAGGCTTTCTTAAGGTCATTCTTTGAAGGAGGGATCTACCCTGATTGTCTATCTTAGATAAAGCACTTTTGGGTTTATAACCCCAGGCAGGCCCAGTATTCCATCCCGCAGCCCCCCAGTAGTTACAGTCATAACCCCATTGTTCATCTACTACACAAACGTAAGGGTCTTTTGCTTGTGGTATATCTTTATAAATGGCTTGAATCTGTGACTTAGGGAATGGGCATTCTACAATATCACAGTAATCAAAGGTGAATGTAGCCACGTGGGTACATGATGAATTATACCAGAAAGTGTACCCACTAGCATCTTTGGTGATGGCCACCTGCTGGGCTTTAAGGAGGCCAACTAAGGAGATAATGTACCAGAGGCACATGGTTGCATAGAGTTAGCTTCCTCTGGGGCAGGTGTCTTCTTGCAATGGGAAGCGTGGATCCAGTTAGGCCTTCCGGCCAATTTGACAGAGGTAGGGGAGATCAGGAGAACTTGGAACGGTCCGTCAAATCTTGGTTCCAGGGTGTGTTTTCGCACAAATTTCTTGACCAGAACCCAGTCACCGGGGAGCAGACTGTGGTTGCCTGTGTCAGAATCAGGATCTGGAATTGAAGAGAAAACTTGGGCATGGATTTTGTTCAAAGCATTGGCAAGTTCAGTTACATAGTTTACTAAAACATCAGTATGATGGGAAGTTGTAATTGCTGGGGAAAATAGCAACCTAGCCTGGGTGCTGACCCGAATAGAATCTCATATGGGGACAATGAGGGCTTCCCTTTGGGTGTATGTCTGACACTAAACAGGGCTATTGGCAAGCTTTCGGGCCAGGGCATTTTTGTTTCTTGCGACATTTTTAGCATTCTAGTTTTCAAGGTGCCATTCATACGCTCCACCTTACCACTGCTTTGTGGGTGATAAGGTGTGTGGAAGGCAAGGGTCACTCCTAGGGCGGCCCAAATCTCTTTGGTTACTGATGCTGTGAAAGCTGGGCCTTGGTCACTTTCAATGACTTCTGGTAGTCCAAACCTACATACAATTTCTGTAAGTAGCCGTCTTGCTGTTGTTTTTGCGGTGATGTTAACCACTGGGTAGGCTTCTGGCCAGCCTGAGAACATGTCCACTATTACTAGTGCATATTCAAAGTTGCCACTCTTTGGCATCTGGATGTGGTCTATCTGAATTCTTTGAAACGGGTACATGGGCTTGATTGGTGTACCGGCGGTGGTAAGAAATCCTCTTGTTTTCCAAATTAATCCGAAGTCGTGAGCCACGCCCAGTGCATATCTTGAATCCGTGTAGATATTGGCGCGCTTTCCTTCAGAGATCTTGCATGCTGAAGTCTGGGCTTGCAATTCAGCTTCTTGTGCAGACATAGTTGATGGTAAAGATGATGATTTGACAATTTCATCTGTTGTGGTTACGGCATATCCTGTATGGTATCTTCCTTCTTCATCAGCATATCTTGAGCCGTCCACAAACAGCGTGAGATCGGGATCTACCAATGGGTCTTCATGCACAGTTGGTAGATGTGTTGTTTCCATTTTCATCTGTTCAAAACAGTCATGAGGTGTATCTGGGTCGTAGTCATTCACTATGGTTAAATCTTGGAACTCATTTTCCAGGAAATGACGCGGCCATGCTTTTAGGTGGTCAGTTGTTGGATATTTGACAACACCATTTTCCTGTAGCTGTGATTCGTCCATAGTGGCCCATGCTTTGGCCATAGGCCCAAGATCATTCCATGATATTGTTTTCAACTTGGTCACAGGGACATGTGGAATGGCAGTGTCCCAATGACGGTACAAATGCTTGAGTTCCGGAGGTAGATGAATCAAGACCATACTGTTGCCTTCAGAATCACAGTAGAAGTCTTGTGCAGTGAGTTTTACTTCGACCAGATGATAGAGTTCATCTTCATAGCAGGGTTCAGGAGGGATGTTTGGTTTGTACCACATGGTACAGAAGGCATATCCTGCTCCGTCATGAAGGAGTGCTTGTCCATCATGAAAGGATAGGTTGGGATGCATTTCCTTCTTGATGGTGCCAGTGAGAAGAAAAACATAAGTTTCGTCCATGATGAATCCGTAGTATACACCCACCTCAGGGAGTGGCAGAAGAGTGGACGGATTGAGAACTTGACATCTTTGAAGGGTAATGTTGTCAGGCAACAAAAGATGACATTGAAGGCGAAGATGCCTAGCAGGAGTAACATGCTTAAGTTGGACCTGGTTGACTATGGCAGAAATGTCATGAGGGGCCAAGACAACCAGGGGGTGGCCAAGGACAAGATCTCCAGTTCTTTCAACGAGCTCTCTGGCAGCAAAGACGGCCCGAAGGCAAGAGGGACGTCCTCTGGCCACAATATCCAGTTGGCAGGAGAAAAATCCAGTAGGCCTTTGGCGGCCTCCAGGACCATGGGCCTGAGTGAGTACTCCTGTTGCATGGCCTTGTCTTTCAGAAACAAACAATTTGAAGGGTTTGGTATAGTCTGGTATGCCAAGAGCAGGAGCAGAAGCAATAGCACGTTTGAGAGAACAGAAGTTGTCAAGGGCTTCTG